AGAATAGAAAATTATCATTATTGTAACTCTGCAACATGATTTACAAATCATTTTCACAGCATCTCATGTAATCCCCACAGAAACCCTGTTGTGTCAATGTTGTGAATATTTTCTTAGGTTTTGGCCTCCTATCAGTTTGTCACTGATCTTTAGAAAAGTTGCTTTGTTTCTTCTGAGTAAGATGGGGAGTGCCGCGACTGGCAAGGCGTGGATGTCCCTAAGTGGGGGTGACAGGAGATTAAGAAAGACACAACACAGTTTAAGGAAAAGTGGGGACCAGGTGAGGCATTGTCCTCAGATGGAGAGCCAGTGACCCTGAACATGGTCTCTGTGTTTATTTTACAGGGGTTGGTTAGATAAAGCTCAAGGGAGTTTTGCAGGCTTAAGGGAATGCTGCAGGCAAAGATTGTTCTGTTCCCAAGCTATCTAAATGATAAATTTTTCTTCTGCAAAGGTTAGTCACATTCAGCTGAAGCTTGCAGTTATCTATTTCCTTCTCAACCCCCATGAGTTCTGGCTGCCATCAGCTGCTGGCTTGCTCTGCTTTCCAGATGCAAGCGGTCAAGCATGGCTATGTCAGCACTTAACCTGGGCTTTGATGCCAGCCTTCACCATCCTCCACAGGGGAGAAGATTGGATATTTTTATTTATGCTGAAGTTCGCCATTCAATTAGAGTGGATATGTTTATTTTACTTGCCCAGCAACCCTAGATCTCTTTTAGGGGTGGACTTCACCCTCCCCTACTCCAGGATATTACATGGTATCAGGCCTGGTCAATGAAGACCTGAATTCAAGGTAGAAAATGGTTCAATGATCAGCATTACCCAAGCAAAGCTTAGTAATTTTAGGGATTTTGCTGGAGCTCTTTACAAAGAGGTATTCTTGAGAATGCAAATATTAAGAACCATACTAGCCTACAATTGCCAGTAGAGGGATATAGCATCACTGGAGGAAACTGATGAAAATACAGCTAATACAGAGGAAACCAGAACAGAGATGGAGGTAACCAGTCTTTGATCTAGCAATGCCTGAGTGTCAAGTTTTGCCCCTTAGGTTTCTCAGACATGTGAACTTTCTAACATGATGATAATGTGTTTATGGGTGAATGGATTGTACATTTTATGTATACTCAACTCAATCTAAGGGCAAATTATCAGGTTTATGGATGAACAGAGGTTAAAAAATAACAGATGTTACATTGTGAAAAATATAAAGAAAAATTCAGTGAAAACATGTAATTTTTTGAGGACATTAATTGGAAGTATAAGGTGTAATCCATAGGGGTAACATTATACATATTACCACAGGAGACCACTCTTTCGCCTTGCCAACAATATGTATGGGGAGAGACAGCTCACTTGGCTCTGGATTCCAAGACTGCCCAGTTGGGGCTAGAAAAGAATTAGGTAAGGAAAGGGAGAAAGCAGGACCAAAGAGCTTCCAACCTGAGTCCTGCTGTAATATTTTTTTTAAGTGAAAACTCATCTGAGAAAATAAAACAATTATGAGACTTTTTACAGATAACTGAACTAGTTAACTGTAAACAATCTGAATAATTGATATTCTTACACCACCATTTTATACTTTTCAGTGATATTACATTGTCCTACAAGCCAGACATAATTTAAAATTTACACTAAACCCTATCTTGCCTAGTTTTAACAGTATGTTTTATATGAAGTTTGTTCTTCCCTTCTTTTTTCTCCCTATTCCTTCTGAGTGGTGCCTATACTTGGTCCAAGGACTCTTTAATAGAAACATCCTTCCTCTACTCTTTAACCTTCACAGACATGTGGGCAGTGGAGGGTATTCCCCAATCTCTGTCTCAAGAAGCTGGGAAGCCCAGATAAGTAATTAGAATTGTGACTGGCTTCCTGAATGACATGAGAGTATCTTATAGTTGGTCTTTTTTTACATCTTAAAATATGCTTAAATTAGGAAAATTTAAAAGCAATTTACAAAAGTTTCTGACAATAAATATATAAACATCTTTATTGACAGTGGGCCAGTAAGAACAAATTTAATTTATAGGTAACCAAATACATTTGAAATGCAGACCGCTAAAACTTCCAAGATTCATGTCAAGGTACAAACCCACAGATTGAACATCAGGTATAAAAAGAATACTGAAATGTAAAGGGCCAGAGTTCTCAGTAAAACAGGGAAAATCCTTTAACACCACTTAAACTGCAATTAGATTACAAGAATGTTTTGTGTCCCCCCAAAATCCAGGTTGAAACCTAATCCCAATGTGATGGTATTAGGAGGCAGGGCCTTTAAAAAGTGAATAGGTCATAATGGCAGAACTCTCATGACTGGGGTCAGTAACCTTATAATAGATGCCACAAAGCTCCCTTGCCCTTTCAGAATGTGAGGATACAGTGAAAAGATGGCTGTCTGTGAATGTCTGTGAACCAGGAAGCCCCTCATCAGATAACGAATCTGCTGGGGCCTTGATCTTAAGACTTCCTAGTCTCCAGATCTGTGATAATATTGAATGTTGTGTGCAAGTCACTCAGTCTATGATATTTCATTATAGTAGCAGAGAGGAAGGAGAAGGGGAAGGAAAGACTTATATAGTTTATTGTGTTCCAGGTCCTTTACTTGTATTGTTGTATTTAATTCTCACATCCACCTTATGAGAGAGGGATGATTTATTCCCATTTTGCAGGTAAAAAACTAAGGCTCTGAAAATAAGTAGCCTTCCAAGGTCACAGAATTGCTGAGCAGAGGTGGCAGAATTAAAACCCAGCTTTGAAAAGCCCATGCTGGTGTTATTTTATTAGTCAAATTTTGGCCCCCAAATGATGCATTTATTGTCACTCAAGCATCTGACATATTGAGAAATACCAAGTACTTTTGGCTTTCAGGACATACACTCTCTGCTGCAACTACTCAACTCTGCCATTATAGTATAAAACAGCCAAATATGTAAGTGAATTGAGTGTGGTTGAATTCCAATTTATCATTATTTACAGAAAGCAGTAGGCATACTTGGTCTATGGGTCCAGGTCACTGTCAATTCCTACTTTAGACCATTTTTTATTAAGGTGATGAAAAGGGCTGAGCTTCCTTTCCTTTATTTTGTTCATCAGCCATTCTCCTACCCTGACCTCTCAGACCTTCAGCCTTCTCAACCATCTTTTTTTTTTTTTTTTTTAAGATTTTATTTATTTACTTTTAAGAGAGAGGAGAAGGAGAGCAGAGAGGGACAGAAACATCAATGTGTGGTTGCTTCTTGTGTGCCCCCTACTAGGGACCTAGCCTGCAACCCAGGAATGTGCTCTGGCTGGGGATCAAACTGGTGACCCTTTGGTTCGCAGGCCGATGCTGAATTCACTGAGCCACACCAGCCAGGGCCTTTCCAACCATCTTGACCTCTTTCAATGTGTTTTTAAAAATTCTTTAAAAAATGTTTTCCCAGTCCTTTCAGCCCCATTTCTTTCATATTGTTTGATTTCAGTCATTGTTGGATATATACTTGATCCATCTTTAATGATCTTGTTCCCCACTACCACCACTTTTTAAAATTTTATTCTTCTACTTTTCTTCAATAACATAACTAAAGTCTACAAAGAAGGAATTATAAGTCACAGAGAGTAAAACTGGTGCTGAAAAGGTAGAATTAGAAGAAACAAATCTATAGCTACTGTTTCCCTCTAATTTTCTATAATCTTTTCAGACAATATGTATTAATAGAATAACAATAACAACAAAAACAAAAACCGTAACATTTGTATAGTGTTTTGCTAAATATTTATCTGAACTTTTGCTTTTGTGTTCCCAATCCATTATTGGTCTTTGGTCACCCAGGTAAGTATATCAATCTATCACGTGGTTTCACGCTTTTTCAATCTTCTTTAGGGCTCTGGGATATAGCAAAGACTAACCTACATATAGAGAGAACAAGAACAAAACACGTGGGTATACATGAAGGTCAGAGAAATGGCAGCTTCTTCATAGAGAGAAGCTGCTTATCCTCACGTGAGTCACTATTTTCCCTATCTGTCAGGAAGATATGTCCCTCATACCTTCAGTTTGCTTTCTGTCTCACAGTTGCCTCAGGTTTTGTTTTGTTTTTTGACTGGGATCCTAAATATGGTAACACATTAAAGCCATTAACTTTTCATACCCTCAACATCCCAGTGACTTTTTCTCAAAGTGACAAAGCACTGGTTACAGAAAGCAGAATAATGCAAAGAAATGAAATCTCCCTAATAGTGTAATTATAGAAAACCAAGGCTTCATTCAATGAGTGCCAAGGATAAGAGGGACTTGATCAAAAACTACATTTAAGATTCTGACCCATACTACTTCAGGGTAACTTCCAAAGAAGTGGAAAATGAGGTTCTACCCAGCAATTATCTAAATCTATGACCCGCATTACTCATGTGAATGTAACTTACAGCCTGCTGTAACTACATTTTATTTCTGTTCATCAAATTACAGAATAGCCTTTGTGGGGAGGGAGGCAGTACAAAGCATATTTCAACTCAACCTTTAACTTTTTATAGCTAATATAAAAGAGATGACACTGGAGAAATGAAACTATCCATAAATCTAGATCTCTACTTTGGATTCACAGAGGTACAACTCTTGTCTTCCTGATGATAACGATATGAACCTCTGCCTAACCTACCCAATAAAAACCCTTGCAAAGTGAAAAGCTGTAACAGGGCTATAATGTGAGAGAGCAAGAAACTGGATTCCACAATAATTACGTTGCTACCCACTACTAAGGATTTCTTGAATTTCCTCAAAAGAGTATTGGGGAGGGATAAGGGATCAAGACCTGAAATCTCTGGCAAGTAGCTTTCATAATTATCAAATCAATGGGTATAAGGGACATTTTGTTTATGGCTCAAAAATACATACTATGCAAGTAAAATCAGATGCATACAAAATTGGTCCGTAAGCAGCATTTTAAGGGTCACTTAAACACTCTTGTATTTAACACAGTGATAAAACCAACTTACATTTCTTCACATTTAGTAATTTTTCAAGGTTGCTCTTCTGTATGAATTCTTTGATGTCTGATGAGGGATGAACTGCACTTAAAGCTTTTCCCACATTCATTACATCTATAGGGTTTCTCTCCAGTATGAGTTCTCTGGTGTTGAATAAGAGCTGATGAGTGAATAAAGGCTTTTCCACATTCATTACATTTGTATGGTTTCTTTCCAATATGAATTCTCTGATGTTTAGCAAAGTTTGAACTCCGGCTGAAGGTTTTCCCACATTCATTACACTCATAGGGTTTCTCTCCAGTATGAATTCTTTGATGCTGAACAAGATGGGTGCTCTGACTAAACGTTTTTCCACATTCACTACATTCATATGGCTTTTCTCCAGTATGAACTCTCTGATGTTTAGTAAGGGATGAGCAATGGCTAAAAGCTTTCCCACATTCCTGACATTTATAGGGTTTCTCTCCAGTATGAGTTCTTTGATGTTTGATGAGTGCTGATGAATGAATGAAAGCCTTATCGCATTCATTACATTCGTAAGGCTTTACTCCAGTATGAATCAGCTGATGCTGCACAAGATGTGTACTTCGATTAAATCCTTTCCCACATTCACTGCATTCATAAGGTCTCTCTCCAATGTGAATTCTCTGATGTATTGCAAGGGAGGAGCTTTCTGTGAAGGCTTTCTTGCATTCACTGCACTCAAAGAGAATTCTAGTATGAGTTCTCTGATGTTTAGTTAAATTAGCTCTGTGGCTAAAAGATTTCCCACATTCACTGCAACTATAGGGTTTCTCTCCAGTATGGACTCTCTGGTGTCGAATAAGCACTGAATGGTAAGTGAAGAGTTCACCACAATCGTTACATTTATGAGGTTTTTTCTCTTTATAGATTCTCTGCTTCTTCCTTAAGTTTGATTTCTCTTTCAGTCTTTTTTCAAGAGCATGAAAGGCATAGGTTCCTTTTGGAACTCCATCTTGAGTGAGAAGGACAGACTTCTGACTAAAGTTTTTCCAATATATATCATGCTCATGAACTCTTTCTTCAGGGAGTGCATTCATGTAGGTGAACATTTCTCTCAAGTGTCTCCCCTTATTTCCTTGCTGATTCTCTAAATTTTCACATTCAAGAGTCGTTTCCATGTTGGTGTCATAGACACTATTCTCTGTCAGTTGGTCTATTATTGCAATCTGGCATGATCCTTCTTTGGAAAAATCTTGCACTGAAGTTGAATCTGTGCCGCCAGGTCTACTTTCCAACTCTGAAAAAAATTGGAAATGCAAGTTTCCTTCATTTTCTGTGCTCAACAAAAAGGCAGTTGTGTAATAGATAAGAATTAATGAAGGTGAAGAGTATGGCTTCAATGAATAAGGGGATTTGGCTCATGAAATGATTCACAAAAGAGGGGTAAATAGAGGGAAATGCAGAGTGTATGCAGAGAAAATAAATATACCATAAAAGACCAGAAATAAAGAAGGAGGGATGCAGATGAAACAATCTATCACTGGGTGTGCAGAAAATGAGCGTACTAAAATATCACTGCAGTAATAAATATCCAGGCAGTTATCACCTTAGTATTGAGGACAGCTACAACTTATAAATTTTTAATCATCCAATCCTACTCATATCCAAATATGCATTCCATTTCCAGTTTAATTTTCCCTAACAATGCTTTAATAATATACCCCCAATCAAAACCTCCTATGAGCTCCCAAAGACACAATGGCAAATATATGAGATTATATATGCACAAGACTATTTATTACCATGCTAACTGGGATAGCAAAAACTGGAAACATACCAAATATCCTAATATAGAGAGCTGATTAAATAAACAATGGTATATACATACAATGGAGTACTATGAAACTTTTAAAAAAGAAAGATCTCTACAGTGATCTTGAGGATATGTTAAGTTAAAAAATCCAGCAAACTACAAATTAGTGTGTATAGATTGCTACTTTCTGTGTAGAGAAAAAAGGGGAGATAGAAATGTATAAACATATTTGGTTATATTTTTCAAAACCAAGGACACAAATAAAAATACTAATAAAAATAGTTACCTATGTGGAAAGTAACAGAAGAGAGGATGGTAAGGATGGAAGCTAGGCTTCTCTAAATATATCTAATATAAATATATTTTAATTTTTATATTCAATATAAAACTATAAAGCTAAAACAATTTAAAGAGTGTGGTTTAAAGGAATAAATAGGTCATAAAACACAACAGCAAATTCAGAAATAAAGTCAGGTATATATAGGAATTAAGGACAATATAAAGATTATTTTAGTCGGTGAACTAAAGATAATTTGTTTTTCCAATAAATGGTGCCATGACTGATTAAACATCTAGAAAATATTAAGTTATATATGTCCCTCATTCCACAGAGCCAAATGATTCTATTCATTCATTTCTCTATACTCTTCTACCCATTTATTCAACAATTATCTATTGAATATCAACCATCTATTATGCTCTGTTCTGGGCACTAGGAAAAACACACACAGTCCCTATTCACACGAGAAGAGAGAGAATATAGTCTAACATTCACAAATGCATATAAAATTGTACCTGTAGTAAGTACTAAGAAATGAAGGCAAATGACGCTATGCAAGAATATAAGAATAGGAATCTAGGGAGATGAGGGGAGGCTCCCCTGAGGAGGTGAAAGTTTTGCTTCTGCTGTGTTTCAGGTGGGTGTTCCAGGTAATGGGTAAAAAAGCCCTGACTTGAGTGCTTCAGGTAGAGGGAGAGACAGGTACAGAAGCCCTGAGGTGAGAGAAACATTCAAGGAAAGCATAGTTGTTGACAGCATGGACTCTGGAATCAGAAGGCACAGCTTTAATCCCAGCTCGGCCCCTTATTAGCAATATACCTGGGGCAAGTTATTTAACCCCCCTACTTCAGTCATCTGTAAGATGGGCATAACAACACCTACCTAAATAAGCAATAAATGAGAATATTTATAAAGCATTTAAGATCCTGACACAGCATAAGTGCTACACATAAAATATTAATACAAGGTTCGTATAAGTAGATAGAGATAGAGAACCCAAAGTGTGGTCCATGGACCCCTGGGAGTCTCTGGAAGTTCAACACTATTTTCTTTTTAATCTTCACTGGAGGACATGTTTACTGATTTTACAGAGAGGAGAAGGGAGGGAGAAAGAGAGGACAAGAAACATCGATATAAGAGAGAAACATCAATTGGTTGCCTTTCATTTGCACCCCACAACCAGGGAGATTGGCAATTTAGGCATTTGCCCTGACCAGGAATAGAACCCGTGACACTTCAGTTTGCAGGATGACACCCAATCAACTAAGCCACACTGGTCAGGGCCAAAACTATTTTCTAAACAATATTTAGATGTTACCTTTTTCATTGTTATAACATTTGCACTGATGTAGCAAAAGTAATGGTGGTAAAACTGCTCATGACTTAGCATGATATGATTCAGGACAATGACACCAAACTTACTAGCAGTTATTGTATTCTTCTCACCATGTACTCTTGGCTTTAAAAAAAAAAGCCAGTTTCTGGCCCTGGCTGGTGTGGCTCAGTGGACTGAGTGCTGGCCTGCAAACCAAAGTGTCACTGGTTTGATTACCAGTCAGGGCACATGCCTGGGCTGCAGGCCAAGTCCCCAGTAGGGGGCATGTGAGAGGCAACCACACATAAATGTTTCTCTCTCTCTCTCTCCTTTCCTCTCTCTAAAAATAAATAAATAAAAATTTTTCTTAAAAAAAAAAGCCAGTTTCACTTAAAAATGTCTGAGTGAACAGCAAACATTATTGATTTTATTAAACTTCAAACCTTCACTACATGCCTTTTTAAGGTCCTGGATATTCATACAATTCTGGTCATATCATAGTATAATGGTTGTCTTGAAGATAACCATTCATGAAACTCATGAATATCTCAAACTCATGAAATAGTTTGAGTTGTGAGCTGAACTAGCCACTTTCTTCATGTACCATATTTTTTCTTGAAAGAATGACTGACAAATTATGTTACCCATGTTGGGCATTTGGCAGATATTTTCTTAAAAAAGAACTATGTTCATTTTTCTTGAATAACAGGTTCACTTTGCCTGTCACTTCAAGAAAAACTGACACTATTTCATATAAGTTGAGGTTTCAGGAAAAAATTAGAATTTTGAAAAACTTTTAACTACCACTTTTAGTCTGATACCTAGTCCAGGGCCCAACAGCCAGTCTTCCTAATATTTAATGACTTTTCTGACAAGGTCAGTGGTGATATTAAAAATTGTTATTTTTTAATATTGTATAATATAATATGTCAATATTCGGAAGCTCTGCATAATTCAGTGAACCAGTATTTTCCAAAAGATTAATAGATTATAATGTAAAGCTATAAAAAACTCATGGATTTAGTTTCAGATGCCTCATTGTTAACTAATCTTTAAGAAACTACCACTTGCCCAGTTTTGTCCATGACAGCTACAAGTATAAAAAGAGTCTATAAAATACTCCCTCCTTTTCCAACTATTTTTTGGTGTGAGGCTGGATTTATTTCATACAGGTCAACCAGAACAATACATCATAACAAACTGCATCCAGAAACAAGTATGACAATACAGCTGTCTTCTATTTAAGCCATACGTTAAAGAGATTTGTAATAAAGTAAAACAATGCCATTCTTCTCAAGAACATTTTTGTTGTTGTTGCAGAAGATAGCTCTTTTTACAAAAATTGTTGTCAGTATTAACATGTAATGGATTTATAACGAGTATTTTAAAATGAATTATCTAAGTGTTTAAAACCTTTTTCAGCTTTTAATTTCTAACACAGTTAAGTATTGCTAGGTATAACTCACATAAACACAAACCCTTTAGGGTCCTCAATAATTTTTGGAGTTAAATTAGGTCCTATGATGCCAAAACTTGGAAGAACTGCTAAGACAGAGTACAAAAATGGAGGGAGGACAGGTGTAAGATAAGGTTGGAATAAAAAGTAAAAGATTTTGCAAGACAATGAAGGCATCAGAGATTTTGGATGTTATCTTAAGAGCAATGGGAAGCTGCTGAAATGTTTTAAACAAAAACGTGCTACACTAGGTTTGTATTTTGAAAACATCATTCTCATGGTATAAAGAATGGAGTACATGGAGACAAAGGTGGAATCAGGGAGATTATCACTGTAGTCCAGGCAAACAGAAGGGAGAAGGAGGCAGGTTAACAATGAAGAAATAGTCAGAATATAATTAGATAAATGAAGAACTGGATAAACGAGAGAGAGAGGGAAGTATAAAAACTATTCATAGATTTATGGCTTGTAAAATTTGATAAGACAGTGAGTGTCATTAAGACAACTATTGGGAAAAAGGTCCTATTGGGGGATGGAAAATTTGGGCATATATCAGGTGTCCAGTTTTAAATATGTTTTTAAACATATGTATTTAAAGTGTCTTTGATATAAGTAAATGGAAACATCAAATAGTTACACAAATGTTCAGAACAGGAGCCCTAAGAGAGGTCTAGGATAGAAACACAAATTTGGAACTCACTTAGGTAAGAGATAATTTGCCTATGGGAACAGATGAGACTGCTGAAAAGAGAGCAGAGGCTGCAAACAGGTGACTAGTTAAGAGAAATCTGGCCCTCAGACATTTGTTTGGCCTACACTGTTATACAAATTTTTGAGATTAGTTGCCAACGGTTAAAATAGAAAGATTTCACATAAAAATTCAAATTTTGGGTTTCCCTTGGGAAAAAAAACCCCAAAACTTGTTGCATACTCAATGACAACAACCAATTAGAGCAGAGACCGAAAACTACAGCCCACAGCCTATTTTTCTAAATAAAGTTTTACTGGAACACAATCATACTAATTCATTTATAAACTGTCGATGATTGTTTTCATCCTACCATGGCATACTGAGTGCAGGAGAGACCATATGTCCCACAAAGCCTAAATTACTTACCATCTAGCCCTTTACATAAAAAGTTAGCCAGCGCGTGAGACAAAGCTAATGGAGAGATGGCTACCCCTTTCATTTGAGCCATGTGCTCTTCCAGTTTGCTTGCTTCACTCAATTACATTACCTTGGCCCATGCAGGCACTCAGGTTTACAATCCCAGGTTATAGAGGGAAGGGAGATTCAGACCAAACATTGAGCAATCCCAATATTTAATTGTTCAGAATAGAAAGCTAAGAAGATACAGTCAGAGAAGTAAGAGGCAATTCCAAGCGGATTAAAGCTTTAAAGAAAAAATTAAAAGACAAATAAACTAGAAGAGAATAGAAGCAAATATTTCTATAATCTTGGACTGCTTCTAAAAACTAATCAAGACACAGAAAATAAAAGACTGTAAAACAGCAAAAACTAGAAAAATATCTGTAACGTGACAAAGAATAAATACCTCATACCGGAAGAGTTCTTATAGATTACTAAGACAATGGCAATATCTCCCACAAAAGAAAGGAAATGGGGGTGAACAGGCAAATCACAAAAATTAACAGGCCTACAAGGGCAAACACATATCCATCTCATAGGGGAAGATTTTAAAACTCTCTCAATATTCAATAAAAGAATATTAAGTTTTTTTTATGATGTACATACAATAAAGTACAGTAGTTAAACCAGTATGTTATTGGAACACAGATAGACAAGTAAACCAGAGAGCCTAGAAACAGATAAAAGTTTACATGGGACCTGGGTTCACCAGAGTTAACACTACAAAACAGTAATAAAAGATAAGATTTTTCAATAAATAATGCTGGACTACTACTGGCTGTAAACATGAAAAAAGATAAAATTTGTCCCTTATTGCACTACATGTATAAAAAATAACTTACCTGTTAAAAAACACTTGAACATTTTAGAATAAAGTACAGATTACCTTCAACACTGGAATAAGGAAGATAATTCACAAAAAGCACAAAGCATTAAAAAATTTGGCAACATTAAAATTTTAAATTCTATATGCATAAGACATGATAAAACAAGCCACTGAATAAAGAAACATTTTTTTCTCCCTGATTTATAATGGTACTTCTGTTATATATCAGTACATAAAATATATAAAGAACCCCAACAAATCAAAAAAACTGTGAATGGCCCAATTTAAAAAAATGGGCAAAGTATATCAACAGGTAACTTACAAAGAAACAAAATAGTTAAATATGAAATATTATGAAAAATGAAATACTCAAATTCATGCATAACCAGAGAATTACAAATTAAAAAGTATGAAATAAATAACCACATCCATCGGACTGGTAGGTGGGGCAGAGATGCAGACGCAGAGACGTGGAATGGCCTGGTCCAACACCCACATGTGGCAAATAAAAATCAAGAGGGATACTTTGGGAGTGAGTGATACTTTCCAGCCCCACACCAGAACCCCAGCAAGGAAGATAAGCCAGTGGCTTCTGGCTATAAAAACCAATGGAGATTGAGTTGGTGGAAGAAACTTCTGGACTCCAGGGCAGTTTCTGTTAAAAGGCCAACAGAGAGACTTACCCAGACTCACTCCTGCTGAGCTCCATTACCATGGCAGCAGCTTGAAAGGAACCAGTGGCACACAGGAAGAACTGAAGTGTCTGGCATCAAGGCGAGAGCTGGGGAACAGCATTCGCCAAGACAGAACTGCTGGCAAACGCCACTGCTCCTCTTCTGAGCCATCCCCGCAGAGCCAAAGAGCACAGCGGGCACCATATCTGAGAATCCATCAACCTAGCTCACACTGTTTGCCTCACTTTGGTTATTCCCTAAGACTCCACCCCACCCAACTTACAGACCTACCCAAATTGTTAAAAGTGGCCTTTCCATATGAGTGACTTGTCTTGGCTAATGCTTATGATCTTCCTAAATCCTCTCAAACAAGCAGGCTGGCCTCAGTAAGCACCCTACCTTGCTAAGTGGCCCTAGGCCCTGCACTAGCAGCAGCTGGCCTTGGTTCACAGTTGGCCTCGCTAGGGTACCTTCAAGCACAGCACAAGAAGCAGCCAGCTGCAGATCGCTTTATAGCGTATGCCAAGTGACCCCAGATGGAACACAAGCAGCCACCAGAGCCCTGCTGAAGTGAGCCCTGCTCTGTGGAGTGGGCCCCTGCACAGCTGATCCTCCACAGAGGGTAGAGGTTGGTGGTCAGTGGCCACAGCCAGTCCTTGCAGCTGACTGGCCTGGGCAAATCCCTCCCATTGACCTGCCAACAGTAATCAAGGCTCAACTACAAAAGGAGGGTGTACACAACTCACACAGAAGGCACAGCTTGAGTACCAAGCTTGGGTGATACGGGAGGCTGTGCCGCTGGACCCTACAGGACACCTACTTCATTAGGCCACACAGTACCAGGACAGGGAATCATAACAGCTCTACCTAATACATAATAACCAATACAGAACAACCTGCCAAAATGAGGAGACAAAGAAACATGGCCCAAATGAAAGAACGGAACAAAACTCCCGAAAAAGAACTAAACATGATGGAGATAAGCAATCTTTCTGATGCAGAGTTCAAAACACTGGTTATAAGGATGCTCAAGGAACTTAATGAGGACCTCAACAGCATAAAAAAGACCCAGTCAGAAACAAAGGATACACTAATTGAAATAAAGAACAACTTACAGGGAATCAACATGAGAGTGGATGAAGCCAAGGATCAAATCAATGCTTTGGAACATAAGAAAGCAAAAAGCAACCAACCAGAACAGCAAGAAGAAAAAGAGAATCCAAAAAAATGAGGATAGTATGAGGAGACTCTGAAATAACCTCAAGCATACCAACATTCATTTGCCTCATAGGGGTGCCAGAAGGAGAAGAGGAAGAGTAAGAAATTGGAAACCTATATGAAAAAATAATGAAAGAAAACTTCCCTAACTTGGTGAAGAAAATAGACATACAAGTCCAGGAAGCGCAGTGAGTCTCAAACAAGATGGATGTAAAGAGGCTCACATCAAGGTACATCATAATCAAAATGCCAAAGGTTAAAGAGAAAATCTTAAAAGGAGCAAGAGAAAAAAAGGGCATTATCTACAAGGGAGTTCCCATAAGACTATCAGCTAATTTCTCAAAAGGAACTTTGCAGGCTAAAAGGGATTGGCAAGAAATATTCAAAGTGATGAAAAAACAAGGTCCTACAACCTAGATTACTCTATCCAGCAAAGCTATCATTTAGAATCCAAGGGTAGATAAAGAGCTTTCCAGACAAGAAAAATCTAACAGAGTTGAGGAGTTCATCATCACCAAACCATCATCTCCAAACCATCATTACATGAAATGCAAACTAAGCAAGCAAGCAGAACAGAAACAGAATCATAGATATGGAGAATGATTTGTTGGCTGCAGATAGGAGGGGAGACTAGGGAAATCGGTGAAAAGGTGAAGGGATTAAGGAGAACAGTTTAGTAGTTACAGAATAGTCATGGGGATGTAAAGTACAGTATAGGAAATGGAGAAGCCAAAGAATTTATACGCATGACCCATGGACATGAACAAAGGTGAGGGGATTGCCTGAGGGAGTAGGGAGTGGAGGGGGGCAGAGGGGAGAAAATTGGGACAACTGTAATAGCATAATTAATAAAATATAATTTAAAAATATGAACTATCATTTCATACCCATCAGACTGACAAAAATTACTAAATCTAATAGTGTCGACTATTGGCCAGGATTGTGGTAGGACTCTGGCAGTTCCTAATAAAGCTAAACATGTGGTACATTAAGACCCAGTTATTCTTATTCTGGTTATTCACCTTAAACCAATTCTGAAGATGAACATAAGGAGTCAATAATAGGATGATCACTGCAATTCTCTTATTAATGGCAAAGTAGTAAAAATAAACTGTTCAGTTTATTCACACAATGGACTTATTCCATAGTAGTTAAAATGAATAAACAGAATTCATATGTATTAACATAGATTAATATCAAATACAATGTGAAGTTTAAAAATTGGATTATAAAAGTATAACATACTATATATACATTTTTATACATATGTATGTCTATATACACGTACATACATACACAAACATTAGGATGTTTTACACCAACTGCACAAATTGATTATGTCTGGGGAGAAAAAGAATGAAAGGATTTTAACTAAACCTGTAATGTTTTTTATTTCTTAAAAAGTAAAAGATACATATAGCTATAAGAATGGCTAAAATTAAGAAGACAGATGATATTAGGTACAGATGAGGATGCAGAGTAACTAGAATTCACATAATCTGTTAGTGAGAATGTAATTGGTATAATTACTTCAGAAACCTTATGAAAACATGTACCAAAAGTGAACATGGACCTACCCTCTAACCCAACATTCTACTTAATGTATTATGTCCAACAGAAATGCATATATGTATCCATCAAAAGACAGAACAAACATAGCAGCACTACTCATATAGCTAAACACTGGAACTATCCAAATGCCCATCTCAGGAAAATGGATAAACTAGTATAATGACATAATGAAAGAATGTACAACAATGAAAATGAACAAACTACAACTAAATGTAACAATATGAATGTATCTCACAGTAATCTTAAGTGAAGAAAGCCAGACACAAGAGTACATACAATATGATTCTGTTTACATAAAGTTCAAGAACAGTCAAAACTAATCTTAGGTATTAGAAATTAGTATAAGGTTACTCTAGAAAGAAAAAAGGTGACTTAAAGAGGGCATAAGGGTGCTTCTTGGGGTGCTGGTAAGGTTGTTTCTTGATTTGGTAAATTTGTGAAACTTCATAGACCTGTACTGTTATAATTTTATTTATTTTATATTAAAACAAGAAAAGGAGGCAAATGAAGCAAAATATAGCATGTGTTTGATCTTCGTGGTAGATATATGTATATTTTTTCCTCAACTTTTGTGTATATTTAAATTGCTATATAATTTAAAATATTTTAAAAATAAAAGCATGTAGGCACTTCTAATAGTCTTTCTTAAGCACAGAAAAGTACCAGTTCTTCACTCTTCTGAGGGACTATTATTTCTAAAGACTCCCATCTACCTGACTCACCTGAAAAGCTGTGTTTGGGTACTTTTTTCTCAAGCATCAGTGGCTCCTTTCCACTCTCCAAGTTGTAGTTCTCAGGCTTGGAAACTGGAAGCCCTGCTCATTTAAAATTTGAAAACAGAAAGAAATGGGATTTAGTTATTTATGGTGGGCACAAACATCTATCCTAGAGCATGGTGCCAACTCTCTGATCTACAAGAAGGACAGAAGATTACAGGAAGATCTGCAGTGAAAGAAGATGGACTTCTAAATGAAGCTTAAAATATCTGCAGCAGGAGTCTGTTTTTGCCTGTCAAAAAAAGAAGAGACCTTATCTTTCCTGAGGAAGTTCCAGGGAGATACTGCAGATCAATCCCTAGCTTAGGGAAGAAACTGGAGAAAACGGGACCTCAGTGGCAGCACCACAAAGTTGTGCCTGTAGTAACTAGAACTGCCTTCTGCTTTTTCTTTCTTCCTTTAGTTACTAGAACCCACTTTCTTAGGAGCTAACACAGTTCTTTCCATGCCTATACACATATATATGCACATCTGCACGTGTGTGTGTGCATACACACACATGCAGGTGGTCACAGGATCCAAACCGGCCAGAGTACCCTATTTCTCTGGCTCTAGTAGTTGTTTCACCATCAACATGTGACCTTATTTGCTGAAACTCCCAGAACAGAACTACCTTTTTTTCCTTAGCTCACTAACTGGAAGGACAATATACACATAGAGCAGCCACTGGCCATCTCTGCCACATGGGGCCGAGATCCTAAGATAAAGCCAATACAGGGCAAAGCCAAACCATGTGATTAAAACAATAAAAGAAATTCCTGATAATATATTTGATTCCTTCAATGAAATATATTTTTTCCTCCTGGAGAGTGGAATCCAGCCTCTGAACTCTACCTAGACCCATCTTTCTAAATTAGCAGAAGCCTTCGCCTCCAGAGGATGGACTGCCACACTGCTACCTGAGCGCAGTGGTGGAAACCCAGTGCAGCTGGGAGAAGGGGATGGAAAATAAAAGTATTTATCCTACAGGAAGGGGAGGAATACACACTAGGCCCAGCATTATGACTGAAGGAAGACAGAAATATTTATAAAGTCCGCACCTTCTAATCCAGATTCACAATGCTCAGCTAAGAGCAAGCATTTTTAATCAGATCTGATTTTTAATCAGATCAAAAACACCCCATTTTTTTCCACTTCCCATCAACATGCTAATAGATTAACTTTTTTGCAGAAAGACAAGTAAATACCTAAATTAACTTCATAAAAACACATTCTGAAGGCATAAATGGGCAGTAACTCTTGGGCTACAGTACTTGACAGAAGCAAACGTGTGATGTAGTACTCACATTCACCTTCATATTTCCGAATCATGGTATGGGCAGTATAGTACAAGCAAAAAACAAAAGTCTTACTGCTGCAGGGGGAGACTGCAATTTAGTTCTATCAAACGACTATAATTTAAGAAACACAACTAATACAGGGAGTACCTATAGAGAAAGGGCACTAAAATGTATATACAAATACCATTCAATTTTTTTGAGTCCTGAGCTGTACAAGTGAAAAGCACAACTTTAGGTTACCCAAGAACACAACAGCTAGGGGGATAAAATGCTGAAGAGAGATTTTAGAAACTAGATTTCTAGAAAGCAAGGGTGTGCTTTATTCCATGTCAATATATATATTGTTAATGTGGGCTTTTGGTTGAAAACCTGTAAGGTCAAACAAAACTTTTAAGAAGAGAAATACCTTACAAGTAATTTCCCCTCCCTCGGGGTAAGCACCGTACCTTAGGAGTAAGGGGAAAACTGAAATAGAATCATCTGAAAAACACTCAAGCGCAGTCAAGGTGATCAACTGTTAACTCAATTCCAGAAGCTAATTGGGAAAAAGTTTATCTCTCTTTAAAAAATAGATAAATTTATTTAACGTAAAGATTTTTTTTTAAAAATCAATGAAAAAAAGATTTCCCCCCCCAACTTTAAGCCTAGTGTGAATTAGGTTTCTGTCGCTTGAATCCAAAGAATCCTAATACAAAACAAGCATAGACAGTTCACCAAGAACCTAGAACAGCATTACTTTCTCTGGGTCCGAAGGGATTATTTAACACTTTATGACTCCTGAATGGAAAAGTGAAGGCTTTGTTAAGCTATTTTAGGTTCCATAAAGTAATAACATCCCCATAAGCAGACTACAGAGTCACAGTGAGAATGCATCCTTACACAGTGAGACCAGGTTCCTATAGTTCTCTAGCATCACGTCCCTTTGTGCAGGATCCAGCTTTCCCCACTCCTCTGGGGTGAAGTCCATGGCCACATCCTTGAATGTCACAGATGCCTAAGACACAAAACATACTTTCATTCACCATCTTTCACTTGAAAGCATTCCTTTCACCCTCCGCTGTGGTGGCCCTGGAGCAGAAGGATTGAATACATTCGAAGGGGAAGATGACAAGTGTTCTAATTGTATTCATATCCTGAATATTCTATGTAAAGTCACTGGCTATCAGTTATGTGCCAGGCATACTGTACTAGGTTCAATGTGAGAACCAAAACAAATACAACTATGGTTTCCCCACTGAGACACTATATAATTTTTCTGGGGAATAAAGAGTTAAAACATGAACCAATGACTCAACAACGTAGTCTGGCGAAGTACAAAATACAGGGAGAAGAGGAAAAAAGGTATGTCTGTATAACTCTCCTTGTGAATCCTCAATAAAAAGTTGAAGAATCAATGCAGCCCATCAGAAGATGAACTGTAGTACAAACCCTGTGAATGGAGAAGTCATGTAATGAAAAGACGGACAGTGAGCACCACCTCCAATTAAGCATGGAATTAATTCAAGGCCAAAAACATTAACTGAAAAATGGTGACAACAAATTGATTAGGGGGACAGGTAAAACTCACACATGTTTATGTGTAAACATCATAGAATTAAGTTTACATAAGACAAAAAAATACAAAACTGTCAGGAGGCAGACATAATAAGTATTACATGCCTTTTTAAATAAAACCACAGAGAATGGGAATAATGTATCAAATTTTGTAACTAGAAAGAAAACACCTTCTATTTAAACATTCATGATACATTTGCAAAAGTAACGAAGTAAATTTAAATAAATCCCAAAACATAAACAGAACAAAGCAATAACTGATTATTTTTAAAAAATCAGAGTACCAAAAAAAAAATAAAATAAAATGCAAAACCAATGTCAAATTGCTAAACCTGTACTCAGAGGTAATTTCATAGCTTTAACTACTTCTGTTTCATTAAAAAATGTAAATAAATGAGCAAAGCATACAAGTCGAGTTAGAGAAAGAACAAACTAATAAAAATAGAAAGAATTACAGGATAAAACTGGAAATTGAGGGTGGGACAAGAAAAACATACTATATCAATGCTAATTTCCTGATTTTGGAAAATAAGAATAAAGCAAGGTAAAATGTTAACTTTTGGAGAATACGAATGGAGAGTATGTAAGAAATCTTTCTAGCATTTATAATATTTCTGTTAGTTTTAAATTATTTCAAAAACAGTTTCCAAAACTGGAAATAATCTGTGACTTAAAAACATACAAGAATTGTCTGTGGAAAATAAAATGTGAACTACTAAGTAGCCACTAGGTAGACAAGGAATTTTGAGGAAAAATGACTGTGATCTTACAATCTGCATATCCACAGCTAAACTGACACTCAATAGAAATTAACTTTGACAATTATAAGAAAAATGTCAGAACAAAAATGCAAACTATTGCACAAAAGGCAGAAAAAATACAAAGAAAGCATAGTAAACAGAATTACAAAAATTGCATGGAAAGAAAAATTTGAAACATACAGGAATCATATTAAAGTGAATGAGTTACTTTCCCTTAAAAAACTGAAAAAAAAACATAAATCCTGTTTACACAAAGACACTCCTAAAAACACCCTAAAATTGGGGACAGGGGTAGAGGAAATTAAAGGAAACATCAAATGTCTGAATACAGTAGTGCGAGTTCAACAAAAGCATATGAAAGGATATACATCAAACTGTCGTCCTCAGGGAGAAGCTGGGGGCTCAATTTGGGGAGGGAAATAATATTACTTTCACATTCATCTGTCTGTGCTGTTCACCTGGTTACAATAACCAAAAATTAAAACTTTACTTATTATTTTTAAAGTCTGCAAAAAATAGTCCACGCAAATGTAGTAAGGCAGTTGTAGTATGAGCATCACACCACATACAATGCAAGAAGGACAAAGAAAGTTTTTAAAAACTTCCATGAAAGATTTAATCTACTCTGAGGCTCTAACAGTCTTGAATCTAATATCAAAGTGTTCTCTGGCACTTGCATTCTGATACTCCTCCGGCTGCTGTGCCCCGCCAGTGTAGTTCAGGTAGTGTAATTCCCTCTCTGACTCATGGATTGTGCGCGTTTCTATGTGTGTGTGTAGGTATATTCCATAGGTCTGCCCAGTTAGAGAAATATACTTAGATCTGGACAATAATCAGCCCAAGAATGGGCCCAATGCCCGACAGAGTTAATCCCTGGACTCTTGCTGGAGTAACGAGGAGGGAAATTGCCCTTTGTCTTTGATCTTCAACAGGGGAAGATCAAAGACAAAGGTAAACAGAAGACTAGAGTTGGCAGAGGCCAGCACTAGGAGAAATACCTGCTTAAGAGGAAAACCCATAAAGAGAAAAGAAAAGGTCAGTGAAATGGGGGAAATAGTTTCCAATGTTACTACTTGAGCTCTATTTCTAGTCAGACCTGGATTTTTCAGTTGTGTTCGTCAATAAATACCTTCTTTGCTTACGTCAGTTGGAATTGAGCTTTTATCAGCTGTGGCTTAAATCTTCTTGACTAATAGTCTTCAATAGAGACATAAGGCAGTTGAGAAACAGTGAAGACAAGCGAGTATGTGAGGATCCCGAGAAGTCACTTCTACAAATGGTACCGATGTGCAATGTGTATTTTTTACACTTGCGATCACAGTAGCAAAGGGAAAGGTTAACCCAGGAACCTTTGGGTTGTGGCATGCCACACACACCTTGGAGAGCCCTTTTCCCTTATCCACCTTCTCTTGATAAAAATTTCAAACATACAAATAGTTAAAAGAATAATATAATAATCATCATATCCATATAGTACAACCAGAACTTAAAATCATATATTCTTAACATTTGTTCTTGTAGGACAGACTGGAAAGTAAGTTGCTTCACTTCTAAACTTCAGCATTCACCATCTTGACCCATGTTTTCTAGGGCGTTCATCAGCTGCCTGAATAGTTTAGAATTAGAACTCAGCTCTCCAGATGGGCTCTGATGGACAAAGAAACTCCACATCAGGGGGAAGGGAGTGTGTCTGTGCTGAGAAATAAGGTGGAATTTCAACAACCAGTAGATTCCCACTCACCTGGGATCTGGCTGTGAGGTGCAGAGCTGCCACTTCTCCCTTTTCTGTGCTCTTCCCTTGGGAAACGGAAGACTCCTGGGAAGACAGAGCTAAGAGCGAGAAAGCAGTCATTATGGGATCTAAATCTACCTTGTGATTTATAAGGTAAAAATCCCTCCGCCATCTTAATGATGCTCCCTACAAACACTGCAACTTGAAGGGAGCCCCAAGGGCCCCGGAGACTGTCCAGGAAATGTTGCTACGTGGGAGCTTAAACTCACCGTCGCTCTCATCGTAACACCTATTGGGAGGCAGTACTTTCTCATCTAAAAATTAGAATAAGCCCACCTGTTTCCAAGCTTAATCTACATTAAATTAATATAAGAAAAAACAGGATCTGTTCTCAAACAACACCCTGCAAGCTTATTTAAAATGTAGATTACTGGATCCCGCGTTCAAATTAATTATTATTAGTTGCGTCTGAGGTGCAATCTAGAAATCTAACAAGCACCCACGGTAATTCTGACATGAGCTCATAAACCAAACTGCAAGGAAGACTGGGCTGTCAGTTACTGACTTCTCTGTTTTCTACTACGCAAAACAAAGATATTTGCGCTACTGAAATCATAAGATTATTGCGCCAAGTGAAATAACAGATGTGGGAAAACACTTTTCTGCCAACCAAGAAGCTACATTCTCGGCCCCACTGACAGTTGGACAAAAAGAACGTGTGAGGAACAGTAAATGAAGCTTTGCTCACGTCTTAGAGGCTAACATTTCGCTCCCATTTGGGGGTGGCTTTGAAGGATCAGGTGTGCACCCGGCTGCAGTGGAAAGGGGGTGTTCCAAGCCCGCCCTTCGCACTCGGGGACCCCAACCGTATCCCAGACAAAGGAGACTGACAGGGCCGTCTGCCAAGAGCCACCTCCGGGAGGCAACAACGGTTTCTCTTCAGGAAGAAGAATCTCACTCTTCCTCAGCACCAGTCAACACTTCGGCAACTCTCACCTCTCTTCTCGGGCATCGCGGCCAAGTCTCTCTCCATGATCACCAGTCCGCCCCGTTGGGAAGATTCTGATCTCCCCGCGCCCTTGGTTCAGACCTGTCTGGACGGGGGCCTCCCGGTCCTCCTTCCGGCCTTCCCTCTGGGGGCTCTGCGGAAAGGCTTGGATCAGGTCGGGTCCAGTTTCTTCCTCGGTCCTACGAGGGTGGCACCTGGAAGCCCGGGGACAGCATCCCTGAGACTGGATCCTCGGATGCCTGTTCCTGTCGCTTGGAGCTGTACCTGAGGGGACCGAGCAGCTGGGAGAGATGGCGCTGGGGCTGCCTCCGAGGCGCAAGGCGCGTAGAAAGATCCCTCCGGGTTCGGAGCTGTCTGCAAGGCCCGCGACTGCCCCGCTCCCCGCCCGTCGCGCCCAGCCGGCACCACGCTTGCAACCGAGTCCCCGGGAGGCGGCGGCCGCGGGAGGGATTCACGCCGGGGCGTGAGGGGATGGGGCTCATGATCTGCCCTCGAGGCCCCTTTCACAAACGCGCACTCCAGCCCCGACTCGGCACGGATCGATGCCCCGGGGCCACCACCACCGACGCCGAACGGAGAAAAGCGGCCTCAGAAAGACCAACTCACCTCCCATCCGGCCTTGACAAAGGCTACCAACTTCTTGGGCCAGCTTGGAGTCGCGCATGCGTAAGAAGGAGATGGCAACTCTGGAGAGCCTCCCGAGGCCCCAAAACTACGATTCCCAGAAGTCTCTGGGAGTTGCCAAACTCCGTTTGTCAGCAGGTGGGAGCACGCGTGGCGCCGTTGGGGGCTGCGAACAAGCAGCCCTCTCTTTCCTTCTCGCGAGAGTCTGTGCCTAATCTCGGTTGTGTAGGTTCCACCGCACGAGCGGGAGTGCCGGGAGCGGAGACTTGTAGCGGAGTCAGTGCGGGTATCCGCGCTTGTCTGCAAGTGGGACTACAACCCAGTCCTCAGGGCTGTTGCGCCGTTCAATCCAAATTAATTTAAATGTAAGATATACTAGAGGAGCCTGTGGCTTTCCATATTTTTGCCCCCCCGCCCAACTCCTTTGCCTTCAAGTGAGGCAAAAGGTGTATTTTTAGGAATAGCGGGATTGTATACGCAAGTCGATGTCAATGCATCCATCGATAGACCACTTGTAATGCCGAAAATTCACGTATGAAATAGGTGAGTTGAAAAGATTCAACCAGTTTCAATAAATTTGAGCAAGCAGACATAACCATTAATTTAAATTAATCAAAAGAGGTGTTTCTCTCAGAGGAGCATGGCTAGTCTTTCATCCTGTTAGTGGGCTAACCTACCCACCTCAACTCAAAATGTTTCAACTGCCCGCCTCTTCACAAACCCATTGTAAAAGCAGAAATGAGAATATCCTCAAGTCTTCTCTCTGCCTATTTTATCACCAACTCCTATTTATTATTTCTTAAATAGCTCTCCGGTTTGTCCATCTTCCTCTGTTCCCTATTAGCATTATCTTATTTCTGGCCACCATCATTTCACTAACTGCTTGCTCTGACTCAGGTTTTCTTTCCCACCAATCTGTTCGCCACACTTTCTGGCCAGTGATCATTATACAACAAGAATATAATGTTACTTTACTGCTTAAAACCCTTTAATGGCTTTCAAAAACTTTGGGTAAAGATGATTTTTCGTTCCAATGAGATGCACCCCTTATCCAGCTTCCATTATGTGAGGCTTCTGGTATTCACACCCTTGCTTAATTTCACCCCGCCCCCCCCCAGACCCTTTAGTGTGGGTGGGATAGTTGAATCATTATGTTTTAAATTTTTTTTAAATTGATTTTAGAGAGAAAGGGGGAGTGGGGGTGGGGAGAGCACACACAAGAGAGACAGACAGACATTGATTTGTTTTCCCCCCAGTGAGATGCTCTAACTATGCTACCCAGCCAGTACACATCTGGCACTCACTTTAACAACAGAGCACAACAAGGGTGACGTTCTAATGCCTGTCTTGCTAGACTTCTTGCCGGCTTTGATGAGGGACATGGTGATGTTCGGGAGGCCCACATGGCAAGGAGCTGTGGGTAGCCGTCAGCAAACAGCCCAGCAAAAGCCCCTTGGGCTTCAACAACCCACAGGGGCTTAGAAGTGGATCATTCCTACTAGAGCCTTCACATGAGAACCCAGTCCTGGCTGACACCTTGGTCGCCAGCTGTGGTGGACTCAGTTAAGCTGTGCCCAGACCTCTGCTCACAGATACTGTGAGATAATAAATGGGTACTTTTTTTGAGCTGCTAAGCATATAGTAATAGTTCTTAGAAAAAGACAAATAATACAGTATCCTGTACTTACAGTATAACTTAAGTAGTTACCTCCTTTCCCCAAACCCAACCTGGAACCTGGAGATCCTCTAAAAGGGGAGAGGTTGTTGAATTGCAAAACTATTGAAAAGTTCATTAGAAACTCTCTGGAACACATGGCTACAGTTAGTCCTAGGATGTGCACACGCGCATTTGTGTGTGTGTGTGTGTGTGTGTGTGTGTGTGTGTGTGTAGATGATAAGAGAATGACAACCACAATGGAAGACTCTTAGGTACCACAAAGGGACTGTGGGGAGGTGCTATAGGGAGTGCTGAGGGGAGGGTAGTGTTTTGTTGGGCTACTTTCTGTTCATCCCTGCATTGCCCTAGGTACATCTTGCCCACTCTTGTACCATTGCAGTGTGCCCTGGAGCTGGGCTGGGAGAGTAGATACTAATAGATAGAAGCAGACCCACTTCAAAGGGTTTTAGTCACCTTTCTCCCGTTCTGATACACTCATATGCACACACACGTGCAGTGAGTCAGATGATCCCTGCAAAAAAGAAACAGTGACAGAGATGTTCCCTGAGGGATAAAGTCATCTGGTAGAAAGAGGATGGTAAAGGGGGAAGAGGGTTATGCCAAATTTTAACACTATACATTCTCCGCTTTGAAAACAATTAAAATCTCCCCAAGTCTCTCTTCCTCTCCCCACATACATACATATATTTCACCTACAGCTTGCACCCTTCCTGGTCAGTCCAAGGAGGGACAAGAAACACCTTGAGGTCTTTGGTTTTCTTCCTTCCCTACATTACCAGCCTATAACCTGGGCCTGGGGAATACTGGCTCACAACAACAACAAAAAAATCTGAAGAATTCTACTGATATTAAATAAAAATAACAAACTGAGCAATCTATAACAGGTGAATAAAATGTATTTTTATTTTCTTTTTTCTTTTTATATTTTCAGATTTTTTATTGTTATTCTATTACAGTCATCCCATATTTTCCCTTTGCCCTTCTCTGCCCAGCCCACCCCCCTGCTCCCACAGTCAATTCCCACACTATTAAGCTATCTTAAAAGAGATAAAGGAGGACATAAGAGACATTAAGCAAAAATTATAAAAACTGTGAAAAATGTAATGGTTGAAATAAGTTATTCAGTACTTCATTGAATAGTAGAATGGGTAACACTGAAGACTGAATTTGAAAGCTAGACTATCAAGTCAAAAAACTCTACTGTTTAATCAGATATCAGAAGGGAATTTTAAAAAGGTGAAAAATGTACAAGAAATGTTAAGCTATATGGAGACTGAGTAGATATTTATATGAGAGCCCTAGAATGAAATAAAGAATAAACAGAGAAGGGAAAATATTTTAAGAAATCATAACCAAGATTATGCAAAAAATAAAAGTTAAAGAACTTAGATTGAAAATGCTCATAGAAAGTCAAATAGAAAAGATGTGAAAAGACACCACATATGATAAAATCCAACAATGTAAGTGTTGGTTCACAGCCTTGAGAGTTCCCTGGGTGAGTTTGGAACTTGGCTTCCATCTATGGATGGCAGTGAGAGGCTGAAGAAAGTGGCAGAACAATCCAAATTGGTAGGTGGCAACTTCAATAAGCAAGGGAACTTACACATATGGCTTGTCTCGGGTGGCTGAGAGATGAATAAATCTGCACATGTCCACCAGAATCTTAAAAGTTTATATAGAGTCCTTAACTGGGTTCAGTCACATATTCAGTTCAGATGGTCACAATGAAATATTCTCTCAAGGTTGCATCCTTGAAATGGCTGCTAGTGTGGGAACAGTGGGCAGAACCTATATTCTCAGGAAATGACAGGGGGGTGACGAACCTCCAATTGCCTGGATGCAACTCCCAGGTCAACCAGCAGTCACGTGTAGGTGACTGCCTCCAAAAACAAATAGAAGCCCTGGCCGGGTAGTTCAATTGGTTGGAACATTGTCCCCTGCACCAAAAGGTTGCAGGTTTGATTCCTGATTGGGTTACATACAGGAGGCAACTGATCAACTTTTCTCTCCCTCTCTCAAATCAATAAACATATCCTCGAGTAAGAATTAAAAAAATAATAACAGAAGAAATTTTAAAACCTCTCCAAACATAGTTCAAAACTCAGTTCCCATTGTCAACAACAGTGCCTGGCATTTTGTGGTCCCTCGGTAAATAATTGAATAAATGATTTGCCAATAGTAGTACTGAATGCAATAAGAAAACATAATGTTATTTTCAAATTGTAAAACATAAAACTTTTAATCTAGAATTTTACTATTAAGTATCTTGTAAATGACACAAAATACTCTTATGCATGCTTACAAAATACTTCTAGAAGTATTTTTGGAGGAATTATTTCAGCAAAAAGAAATAAATAATCGGGATGATTCTTCAAGATATAAAAGAAATAAGAGTAAGAAATAATCTAGTAAAGAGTTTATTATGATCTTGATAATGAGGAGCAGAAGTAGAGAGACAGGGTCACATCAGTTACGTGTACATAACAATCCCACACTGAAAACTTAATGACGCCATTGGAGATGCTGGTTGGAAATAGTAACCAGACAGTGAGCATGGCTAAGTTAGTTGTCTTTATTAGAAGGAGGATGTACCTATTCACAAGTTTAATGGATGGGGAGGTCAAGGAGATAACATAGATGTGTATTTTAATAAGTTAGTACCATGGGAATAAATATAGGGTGTATAACATTCAAACTAGAAGAAAAGAACTGATTATTCAGTGGAAACCCAAACAACAGGAAAACAAGAAACAACAAGAAAGAACGGTAAAGGGAAGACAGACCTGTTATACCATTTATCACCATAAATGTCAATCTCACATATCAAAGTCAGACAATCTATTTGAATTACAAACAAACCAAACCAATCCAAACAAAATCCCCAGAT